CAAATTCCCACTGCCTGCCTGTCTGCCAGCAGGTCATGGTCTTATCAGAGTTCCCACTGCATGGGAGCCTATGGAATCCCAATTTCCACCATTTAGGTCTTGCCCTCCAGGGGTGCTCAGTTACTACATGCTGACTAATCTGCCCATAAACCTTCCAGAAGATAACAGTGATCAAGAGGCAACATTCTGCGAGGGGGCTGGGGGGGTCAGCTCAAGTCAACAGACCAGAAGCAGACAGCATGTTAGAAGTTAAGCGCAAGAGGCCGGGAGATAGGAAGGTTGTCCTATCCAGTTGTTCCAGCACTAACACTTCCTCTATGTGCTACACATGGGCCCAGGACCTGTCTTTGTTAGCAATGATGGTGGATTTCTGGAGCTCTTGCGGTGCGGCACCATGGTATACTGTATAATAATATCTAGAACCAGGCAACTTGGGTTGAAATACTGGTGTGTTACGGACTGACAGTGGGACCTTGGCAAGGCATTCAGGTCCTCTTGGACTTGGTTTCCTCATTTACAAAATGAGAATGTTGATTATAACAGTGTCACTTTCATAAGGTTGTTGTGAAGATCAAGAGTTAAGTCACTTAAAATATTTAGAACAGGGCTTGGCACTGACAAGTTCTTCTTGTTACCTTGTGCTCTTCTAAATTCCATACACGTGTCATGTTACATAAGATCTTATGAGGAGAGGTGCTGATATCAACTATATGTTACAAACCATAAAACTGAGAAACGGTAGTAGATAAGCAGCCCCATACCAGAGTGTGCAGCCAGGCTTCAAACGCAGCTGTCTAGAATCCCTAGAAACTCTCTTAATCATTACACCGGACCAGAAAAAACAACCTATCAGTAGGTAATGGCAAAGCAACACGGTAGTTGTTCAGAGGCCTGTAGCACACCCTACAGGAAGGGCTAGTATGTACTTCTGAGGGATCAGACAGGCCCAAAGTCTAGAACAGAAATTTTCAGCCTTTTTCATCTTATGGCACACATAAAGTAATTAATTAAATTCTGTAGCATACCAAAAAAAAGGCACTGTATTTTTGTCTATTTGACAAAAATAGATATAATTTTGATTGATTTACAAAAAAAATAATAATAAAAGTAATTACCTACCTTTTTTGCTCCAAAGTGACTGTTTAAAAAAATCAGGTGTTTATATTTGTAAATAAGGACTCATGGTACTAAGATTTAACCAATCAGAAGCAAATTTATTATGTTACATACCAATAAGATGCAACTCTATTATATGACATATATTTATGATTCAAGACGGGGCATTCACACTGAGGGCTATTGTGTTGGCCGTTATCATTTTTTAAAATATAACAATCTAAGAAAAAAGAGGTCAATGCCCCTGAATAGTCAGGTATTACATGTTTTAAAAATTCTTGCGGCACCAGGTGAAAATTGCTGGTCTACAAATATGGTTGACTGGGAGAGAAAGGCATTCAGGCAAAACATGGAATATCTGGGGACCCACAAACCCTGCATTTGCTATACTGGCAAGTTCCAGGCAGGTGAAAGAGGCAGTTGAAGCTGGAGAAGTAGACAACCTCCAAACTATGGAGGAGTTTCTAGATTGTGCTAAGGACCTTAACTTTATGGAATTTAATGAGGGACTGAGAGAATGTGACCTGGAAGTGTTGCTGGTAGAAGTGGGGTCCTTGCCGTCTCAGAAGAAAAGCATTTCAGGACCACCACTGGAGGGATGTGATGTGGTGATAAGGTTTCTTGAAGCCGGAGCAAACACAGCTCTGTCTCACTATGGAAAAAGTCCAGATTTATCTTCATCAGGCCCAGAAATAGGGCCAGTGTCCAGAAATTCTGTGTCATGCCAAGGCTTAGTCCAGTTTAGTCCCTGTCCCCATCTGGCTAGGTTAGTCTGTTCCCAGCTGTGTTTTGCCTGGTGCTGTGCCCAGACGCACACTTGGAGCATGTGCTTGCAGTTCACATGGCTGCCAGACACCAAGAGGCTGCTAGGTCCACATGGCTGCTATTTAGAAACTGTGTTAGTACAGGAGCACACAGACAGGTAAATGTGTGTTACTGAACCCCATGTCTTTGCTAAGCTTGGATTATATTCTTGGCCTTGGGAAGGACCAGGTGCTCTTTCAAAGTAACCAATCAACTTCCCAACCCTGCACAGGCTTGTGTTCGGTCCTCTACCTAACCAATCTATTTCCTAGGTCTTCTGGGTTCTGTGTTCCTTATCCAACGCAATCCTTTTCCCAGACTAGATAGACAGGCCTTTATGGTCATCACAGTCTAGGTGAATAGGCCAGTTGTACCCAGGAGATTGGAAAGCTGGCATTTCTGTTATTGTAGATAGTTAACTAGTTACTAATAAGAAAGGAAGCAAAGGAGATTAGACATTGAGTTTAATAAACTGGGGAGCATAAGCCTGTTTGCTTAGCTAGGAAGCTATAGCTTCACAAACTCCAGGGGATGGAAGCATTTCTCAGCCAACAGGATTAACATTCCTCTCCCACCCCACTCTGGTACCAGATTGTTCGGGAAGCAGAAGGAGGTAAGCACACGTACAACATCAGTCAAAATGGTGTGGCGGCGGGGGGGGGGGGGGGGGAGATGGGCGCGGAACTTGTCTGTAGAGGACTGTCAGACTAACCTGGAAAGGGTACCCATTGGCTAGGGCAGGGATGTCAAACTCATTTTCACCAGGGACCACATCAGCCTCGAGGTTGCCTTCAAAGGGCCAAATGTAATTTTAGGACTGTATAAATGTAACTACTCCTTAACTAGGGGCAAAGAGCTTGGCAGCACTGCTGCCTGGTAGAAACAAGGTTCTAGGCCAGATAAAACAAGGTGGAGGGCCAGATTTAGCCTGTGGGCCTTGTGTTTGCCACCTGTGGGATAGGGGGTGGATTCATCAACAGCCTGCAAAAGCTTGGGGTGTTGATTGGTTATTTTGAAAAAGCTCTTGGTTATAGCCCCAAGGGAAAAAAGAAGCAATCTCTCTCTCTCTCTCTCTCTCTCTCAGTAACCGTCACTCACCCTGTTCATTCATGTGTTCTCTCTTGCCCAGGAACACACAGCCATGTGGGTCCAGCGGCCAACTGGGGCCCACAGTGGACCACACAGGCTCCAAAGAACTAAGCTTTAACATGAAACAGAAACTCTGGACACTGGCCTTTGTTTTGGCCTTGCTGAGGACATGGTTGGACTTTTTCCATGGTGGGACAAAGGGAGATGGATCATTGGAAACCCAGGGGCAGACTACCTGAATAAACCTTGTCACAGCACAACCTTTCTTGTGTGGGTCCATTAAAATGCTTTTTGTGTGTGTGTGTGTGTGTGTGTGATCTTGTGGAAGAGCCCAATTTCCACCGGCAACACTTCCTTCCTACATGAAGGAAGTAGGGGTGTAATTCTGCTTGGTGGAGCAATGCTTCGATCCCCTGGATTTCCTATGAATGTTTCAACTTCCTAACAAAACAGGCTTATTATCTAATTCAGCTCCCTGGTTGATTAGGCTTCTTAATGTTTGATTTCCTTTTCTCACTTCCTTTACTTTTTTAAAGATTTTTAAAATTGATTTTAGAGAGGGAGGGGTGTGTGTGTGTAAGAGAGAGAAAGGAGAGGGGGAGAAAGTGATTTGCTGTTCCACCCAGATTTGCACTTCTTGGTTCTTGTATGTACCCTGACTGGCAGGGATTGATCCTGCCACCTTGGCATACCTGGACATCACTTTAATGAGATGAACTACCCAACCATGGCTGATCCCTTCCTTTGTTAATATCTAACTACCTATACTAATAAATGAAAACCCCCCAAAAATCCTCATTGGTGAGTTGCATCTACACCTGTCAGCCCTCCTGCCCTGGCTTGCTGAGTTCCCCCTGACCCTGGTGCTGAGAGCAGGTGCAGTGCTTCCTCTGTCTCTAAATCTGGAGCAGATTTAGGCATGAGGTGCTCAAATACTTACGAAACCAATTAATGTCTAGTAATATTGCCTGTGGAAAGGACGGGGACTAGAAGTTCAAAAACAGCAAAGGACTCCCCCCCCCCGCCCCTCAAATTAGCCCACAGGTCTCCAGGAGTCTAGGAATCACTGAGTTTGTTCAGTCCATCCTGACTCTTGACTACAACACGGTCCAGGTAGGAAAATGCCATGTTCTGGGCAGGGCTCCCATCAGATGGGATGATTCATTCAGCACGAGCCTTCAAAGACACCCAAATACGAGATGTTCACTGCGGACTGTGCTAAGGGGTGTGTGGCCGGGACTGAAGGGGCCCAGTGGATCTATCTAAAATGGACTTTTCTCTATGGCAGGAAACTATTTTTCCCTTAGCACTGACCACATGTTGTTCTTTCTTTCTTTGCTTACAGACTCTCTTCCAACAACCTGCAAGCAGGGCCCTGCGTGAAGCCGGGACCACATCTCACCTACAAAGGATTGCGGGAGTAATGGTAATTTGGGGAATGGAGCCGGAACTGCGACCGCCTCCCAGAGCGCCCGGGGGCGTCTCCCGCCCCTCCGTAACCTTAATAGTCAGAGCCAGCTGTCAAGGGCAGGTTCAGTCCCCTTCGCCTAAGGCAATGCCGAGGAGCAAGACGTAACGCGCCAACTGCCGACACAACCTAGAAGTGCGGCGCCCAGTCGGCGGCGGCAGGTAACTCCGCGACACCTCTCGCGCGGCACTCTGGGAGTTGTAGGCACCTCCCATTTCACTCCGCTTTAGCTTCTTGCTCTCGAAGCCCCAGCACGTAAGAGCGGATGGGAGCCTGACTCCCAAGCCGTGAACTTTAGGGAACTTCAATTTCTAAAAAAGTGAGTGAACAAGGCCCTCCCTAGAACAGCCCCGTGTACACCGCCGGGGGTGAGGACTACATTTTCCAGGGGACCTCGGAGAGGCGGGCTACCGGAGCGCGGTGCATTGTGGGCATTGTAGTCCAAATATGTCTCGGGTTCCACCTCCTGAGCGGTCTCGTGTTGCAGAGCGTACTACATTTCCCTTCCGCCCGCCCGCTCTCCCTAGGCCTCCTTGGCGCGAGACATTTGCGAGCAGAGTGTCTCCAAGATGGCCGCGTGGGGAAGGAGGCGTCTTGGCCCGAGCAGTAGTGGTGGCAGCGCCCGAGAGAGGTGAGATCGGAGGTTTTTTGCTCGCCTCCGGGCATGTGGCTCAGGAGCCGATGACCCGGTGAGGCCTCCTGTGGGTGCAGAGCTCTCCCTGCCTTAGCTCTTAAGCTGCCTTTTCTCGCCCACCCTTCTTCTGTTCCTCAGCTGGGCACGCGGGGTTCCAGTCTGAGCTGACTCGGAATCTGGGTGGGAACCGGCGCCCGACCAAGCTGGGTCGAAGCGGACTCCACCGAGGGTTTAGGGCCTGGGCCGAGCCTGGGGCCACGCCAGCTAAAAGGACCTGTCCAGCTCCCCGCGGGGCGAACGGCGTCCAAGGCTCCCGTCCCGCCTGGCCACACTCGGGCCATCACAGCTGCGGCCCCAGAAGTGGCGAGGAATGGCTCCCGGGAGGGAGGAGGGGGAGGCCACAGAACGGGCCAGTTGCGGGAGGGTAAATGTGTTCTGCACTTTTACGCCAGGGAGCCCTAACCCTCTCCAGTTGTGTTTCTCCGGCCGACAGCCGGTTACTTCCCTGAGAGGGGATTTTTACTACTCTTAGATGGATTTGTGCAAGCGCGCCTTCCGTGAAAGTCCTTTAAAGTGACCTTTCCTAATGAATGGTGTGTGGGTAGTGAGCTAGGAGTTTGTTTTTTCCAAGGTGGATCTTGGTTTAGAGAACTGATTTCTAGAGGATGAAATTGCAGTAGTTTTCGTGTTGAACTTAGAGTTTTTGATTCTGGAAAGCAGTTTCAGCGAATAGAAGCCACTAGAAGTTTGGGTTATGATGTGCACTGGTGGAGTCACATGGATAAACCGTCTTGCTGATTCTGTTAGGGTATAATTGGTATAGCAGAGGACAGCAAAAAAGGGAAGTTTTTATGTTTGCTCTTTTTGTCTTTTTGGTGAAGGTTGTTAAACAGGAAAGTTCTCTTAATCTCCCCCCCTTCCTTTTCCCTCCACTATTCTGCATTATTCCTTTTCTTTGCCTGATTCCATCAAATATTTGTTGCTATTGCCTGCAGATGTTTTTCCCAGCCTAGGAGATTATTTCTGTTTGGCAATTTCAGACAGACTCCTTTAGCTTGTATTTTATTCTTTAACTCAGTTGTCCAGCATTGTTTGTTCGGAATTTCCTGTTCCTTGGAAAAGCAGTGAATGGCAAGCAGATATTTCTGTTTCTCCAACTCCCAACCTTGTATTTCTTAGAGCAGACCATAGAAATAAATGAAAGAAGGGACCTCAGTGATTCCCAATGTTCTTTAAAACTAGGAAACATTTTCAAGATATTTAATGCAAACATTATTAATCTTACCAGTAATTTCCTTTAGTAGGAAATAACCTGTTTAAAAAACTTAAAAGAGTATCAGAGAGAAAGGCATTCCTCCCTGCTGGATAAAAACAACTGAAAGGGTCATATTGGGATGCCCCAGACATCATACAGGCAGGGGCTGTTAGCTTTCACTGGCCTAAAAATACTAGATATTGGGGGTGTTTTTTCCTTCGTTGGAGACAGTCATTAATTAAAAACTGAGCTTGCAAACCAACAGTCCATATACTATTCTTTGGGGGGTTTTTGGACCCTCAATTTAGAGAATTTAAATTAGTTTCCAGCATTTATGAATTGAAAGATTTTTATTATACACACACACACACATACACACATACACACGTCCACCCCACCCCACCCTCTGTATTTGAAAAGAGTGGTGGCTGACGTTTTTCGGTCAGGTCAAGTGCTTTCTAGTTCATCAGTCCTCACTTGACGGCTTGATTTATTGCCATTACCTGCTTGGTCTTCTTAGGTGTCAGGTCACAACCTTTGGCCAGGAACTGAGTGCTCTGCTGACACATGCAGATGTTGTGTGTTAGCTGGGAATGGGGCATCTGGTTTTGTGGTTTGGGTGATACCATCTCTCCTAGATAATGCACTGTTGAGGGGATTACCCCTCAGTTGGCACCATCTGTCTCCCTTCCAGGTGATATGCTGTGGTAGGGGTGGAGGTGTGGGGGAACATATGGGCACTCCATTTGCCTTTGCCGTGAGGCCCTAGCTGGTGGAGTCAGGTTTCCCTAAGGGCCTGCCATGCTGAGGGGGGCAGGGGGTGGAAACATAATCCTCCCACCCCCGCCACCACCACCCCACCCCTGCCAGCTAGCTACTTCTGGGCACACCTCCATTCCTGTTCTGTGGGTGGGAAGACTGGGTGGGGCAGGCTGGATTAATTGATTGACAGACACCATAGATTATGAGGCCCCAGCATATTGGCTCTTATGACTGAAATATGGCTGTTTATGGCTCTCTTAAAAGACTTTGTTCCATGTCACATTGGTGCTCACTCAAATCTCGGCTCTGCATTGTAAGACCACTTTCCCGAGTTGCTGCACAAACCTGATTGGAATCTGCTTTATGCTGAAACTGAAGGAAACATTGTCTGGTTTGGGACACTGGTGGGAACAGAGCAGTGCTTTGGGCACACTTTACAGATAGGCCAGTGGTTACAGACTCCAGAGCAGGCCTTCTATTTAAAGGCTCTGGAGCCAGATTGGCTATAAGGATTACTGTCGTCAGCTATGTGTTAGTGATGGTTGAGTTTAGAACAAACAGTGTGTGGAGTCTAGTTTTACCTGTTTCTTGAGTCTAGAGCTGTGTTTATTTAGTAGCCACTAGTCACATGTGGCAGTTGAAATTAAGTAAAGTAGAATGAAAGATTCAGCTCCTCACTCATACTGCCCACATTTCAAGTGCTTGGTATTGGTAGCCATGTGTGGCTGTGACTGCCATCTTGGATAGCACAGATAGAGAACCTGTCTGTCACAGTGGAAGTTCTATCGATAGGACAGTGCTGGTCTAGGCTAGGACGGGAGGGGGTGGAAATATCAAAATGAAAGCTTCTTGCATGTTGATTTTTCTCTTCACTCCATTAAATCTAGGAAATCAACAGTGTTTGTAATGAAGAACATCAGACTCTGAGCTGTAACCCGAATTCTTGTCCAAAATTCAGCACTCTGGCAACGAACACATGAAACAGATTGCCACTTGGCCTGTCGACGTCTTTGAGACACATTTGCCCAACTAGGAAGGCACAGTGCAGGTATCCGTGTGTTCTGCCACTTGGGTGCCGACCCAGCTCAGCTCACAGATCATCCACCTGTCCCCTTGGGCTGCTTGTCTCATTGTCAGGGCCCCTGAGCACCCTGAACACTCTGTGACTGCTCCCATCTCCTGTCTTTCTCCTCACATGAAGGTGCACTCCATCTGGTTCTGATTGTTGTTGAAGGCAGCAGCCCTGCTTAAAGGCCTGAGGTGTTAAGAGGGTCTGGCATGCTAGACTAAAGGCTCAGGTTTTCAGGTGAAATCACTTTTTGCAGCCTGACCCTGCCCTGGCAGGTGTAGCCATCTGCTACTGTACTTTTAGGCAGCCGGTTCTGGGGGATTACTTGCATGTCATTCTGTAGCACACTTTATTCCTTGGTACTTGGTCTTTTGACAGCTTTGCTTTAATCTGTGAATCAAACAGATGTGGTTCTAGGCGGCTGGTAGGGGTTCACTTCCCAGTTCAGCTGAGCCATGTGAGTAGGTGGCACACATTCCCCTCATTCTGATCTAATTCTTTCCTTAAGGGTTTGTGGTAGTTGACCTCTCATGACAGACTCCCATTGTGGCTCTAGTGTGTTGTGTAAATGTTGTTTCCTCCTGGTCTGGATGAGCCACAGAGGCACAGCATCTGCACCCAGGTCTGTACCTGAGGTCTCGCCCAGCTGGCTGCCAGAAAGTGGACATGTGCATAACAGGCCATATGCTCTGATCCCAGAAGTTGGATACCATAGGTTAGGATCTGCTAGGGTTCATTGTCTTCCTTGATTCACTTGAGCAATCTGGACTCCAGCTGCAGTAACTTGTGCCTCTGTGGTTTAATGCTTTAGCCTGCATTCCTGTTCAGGGCCCAACTTGCTGAAACAGAGGAATGATCTGTCCAGGAAGGTGAGGAGGCTGAGGCCAGGCCTGAATTTGCTTTTCTGCCCTGAGCCTCAGAGAGAGAGAGAGAACAGGGTCGGGGGTGCTCTCGAGCACTCCACAAAGTGAGCACACACAGGAACCTCCTTGCTACCACTGTGTTCTGTCCTGGCATCAGCAGCAACTTTATGGGCCACAGGGTTCTTGGGAAAGCTAATAATCACTTAATAGCCATAACAGTTCTTTAGCTCTAGGCTCTTCATTAGGGTGGCCACTTGAGACTTTCAAGCATTTGAAATGTGGCTCATGTGTCTGAGGAACTGAATGTTTTAATTTTACTTAATTTTAACAGCTGCATGGACCTTAAATTGGGTGGTGCTTTGCAGCTGTCACCTAGCCCCCATCCCATCTTAAATGAAGTAGTCTGGGAGAGCTAGGCCTTTGCCCCATTTGATACCAGGGAAGCTGGCTCATAGTAGCAAGGGAGTTTGCCCTCGGACACAAAGCCTCTAAGTGACTGAAAGGGAACTTGAATCCAGGCCTCTTGATTCCCACACTTGGTGCACTGTGTTCTTGTTCCCAAAGCTGAGAGCTACTCAGTTACCAGAGCGAGCAGAGAGGAGGAAAGTGTTCTCTTGCATGTGGCAGATGAAATTGTCAGGTGCCCTGTGGAAGCAAGTTCCTTGACCTATTTGGAACTCTTCTCAATATTTTGGGCTACTTGCCTGTGCCCTTTTGTCCTGTCTGGTCTTTATGTCTGCAGCATAGAATTTTACTGCTTTCTTCGGCTTTGGAGAAAGCAGTTTTTGGTTAGCCAAAACTGGGTTTTCTTAGACCTGGGAGGTATAGGTATAGGTAGAGGTATCAGTGTCTCACATGTCATAGGTAATCAAGTGACCTCATGCTAATTAGGTAGAAAGCGCAATGACATGTGGACCTAGTTTAATTAAATGTGTTCTCTTGATTACTCTAATTTGTTTTCCTTTCTGTCACTTATTTCAAACATGCTTCCACTAATGCTTGTCACTTAGTCAGACCCAGTGCTGGGGATGCTAGGATGAAAATGCAC